TATGTAAACCAAAGATCCAGTTACTTTCTAAGATCTAACGATAATTTAACTAATATACCTGTGAGAACTGAACGATTTAAAAAATCTTTCTTTCCATCGGCAATAACTGCCTGGAATGATCTTGATTCAGATTTACGAAATATAGAGACGCTTTCTTCCTTTAAAGTTACCTTATGTAATATGTATTGTGGACAAAAATATAACGTAAAATACAATGCATCACTAAGTAGATATAGCTCAATACTCCATACCAGGCTCAGGCTTGGTCACTGTGCGCTTAATTTTCACCTATATAGAATTAATTGTGCAAATTCCCCCTTTTGTGTATGTCGATGGGGTGAAATGGAAACTGTCAAACATTACTTTTTATATTGTTCTCGATTTGCTGCCCAACGTGAACAATTGCTCTCACTTCCTGCGCGGCTGCTCCATCCTATGTGGATGAATTTATCAGAGAATCGGAAAATTGAAATACTTTTGCATGGTTCGGAAAATCTTGGACATGAAGATAATGTAAAATTAATGCAAAATGTCCAATTATTTATCTTAAATACAAAACGGTTTCGGGCGGAGTAACTTTTTTTCTTTTTTTTTTTTTTTATTGGAACTTGTTTTGTAAAACATTGGTCTGTAAGATATTGGTGTGGTAAATTCTTCCATATAAATTTCTTATAATAATATGTTTCATGGAAAGCTTGAGAATGAATACCAGAAGTTCTTCCACACTATGATTATTCGATTTGTTTTGATGTAATCTTTTTTTTCTATGTAATCCTCTTTGTCTTGATGTGAGTAACCTAAAGTTTGTAAATAATCCGACATAATCTCCCTTGATGAGCTATGCTCTTGGAGAAAATGCCTGTAATAAAATATGTTTAAATAAAAAAAAAAAACCTCTAGCTTATGCAATTTAGCCCGAACAAGAATACAAGATGGTCTTTAAGGTTTTTGGATCTCCTAAAACACACCGTAGGTGGCTCTGGCATGACACTTAGGAACTTGCTAGATAAGCCTAATATTTTGCAATTCCCTAACAATTCCATAAATTTCCCGCAATGTTGGGTGATAATCTATGATCAAGGTACTCTTATTATTTTCCCTTCTAGTTTGTTCACTTCCCCGTTTAAATAATGCCGATCGATCCAAAAACCTGACTCTCTTAAACTAACTCTCTACAAATTCGCTATTATAGCCCCTTTTAACCAGAAACCCTTTCAATTCCTGAAGCCTACTCTCAAAAACCTTATCTGAATGGCAAATCCGCTTTAGACGCAATGCCTGCCATAAGGAATTCCCCTCTTAACATGTGGAGGATGGCAGGACTTAAAATTTAAATACTGATGTGCATCAGTGGGTTTGCTATAAACATCAGTACAAAAAAAACCATTATCCAATCCTACCGACACGTCAAGAAAGGAAATCCTATGATAACTTATATCCCATGTATACTTGATATTCTCGTGAAAAGAATTCAAACGAAGCAAAAAATAATTTAATTCCTCCTCTGAATGAAGCCAAATCACAAAAATATCATCCAGAAAACGCCACCATACCCATGGTTTTAACTCACACGTCTCCAAAAATTTTTCTTCCAAGTTCCCCATAAATATATTTGCAAAACCTGGTGCGAACTTGGTCCCTATGGCTGTCCCCAATTTTTGGCGGAAGATTTTTTCATCAAATTCAAAATAGTTGTTTTCTAAGACCAGCCTTGCCAAGGAAACCAAGTCCTCAACCCGTAGCTCCCACTCAGCCCTATTAAAAGCTGCCAGAGGCGCTTCCAACCCTTCCCCATGTGGTATATGAGGGTACAAGCCGATCACATCTATAGTACACAAAAAGCACTAGATGGAATGTGTCCCAAACTCTCTAATTTTTGAAGAAAATAAAAAGTATCCTTAATAACAGATGGTACATTACACACTAAAGGTTGTATATGAAAATCCAAAAATTCCGATATTCTTTCAGTGGCCGTACCGCAATTTGAAATAACCGGCCGTCCTGGTACATTCTCCAAACGCTTATGAATTTTAGGCAACAAGCAAAATTTACCTAATCGGGCCTTAGAAACTATTAGATATTTTCTATTAGCCAAAGATATATATCCTTTATGCACCAAAGGATCCAACGTTTCTTCTATTAAAGAATTAACCCTATCCAAAGGATCTGACTCAGCAACCTCATATACCTGCTGGTCATTAAGATAATTATAAGCTTCATCGTAATAATCTTTCCTTCCCCACACAACTACAGCCCCACCCTTATCTGCCTCCTTAATAACAATATCTCGATATTTCTTTAAATTTTTAAGTGCTTCTATCCCGAGAACACTGTATAATTTTGTAAAAATTATAATTTAATAAAATGCCTGGATTAAATATCTTCAAATCTATAAAATCTGTCTATCTATCCATCTATCTATCTATCTATCTATCTATATATATATATATATATATATATATATATATATATATATATATATATATATATATATATATATATATATATATATATATATATATATATATATATATATATATGTACTATTTACGAAAACGAGCAGGAGTGTTTTGGATCATGCGCATAATAAGTCAAATCTTTATATAAAAATCTTTATATAAAAATCTTTATATAAAAATCTTTATATAGTTTGCATAACAATGGTCTTTTGTTAAAGTGTTCTTTAGCTGGTATAAAGACGTATGCACGTGACTAATTTCTTACTCAAGATTGGATAATTGCTTCATGAATTATTAATGAGTTTTTGAAATATATATACGGAACTTTCGAAACATATTTGGAAATTAAAAGAAAACAATAAGGATTATACCATCGAATGCTCAATTTTAAAACACGCTATTTCGGATCAAAACGCTGCAATTTATGTTTGGAAGAAAAATTTTGCATTTTGAAAGACATAAACAAAGACAATTTACTCAATAAAAGAAGCGAAATTTTCGGCAAATGTCGTCAC